TGAGCGATTCCCTAGAAATTGGCTTCGCTGCAACCATGCCTTAACTTTGAGGTGCGGTAGATCAGCGACCTTACAAGGCACATCTAAATTTTTGATACCAAGCGATCCGCTTTCCAATTGTCTACAGCTATGCAAAATTTGGCGGGACTACGCCCTGCCGTTTGGAAACTATTTTGGAAAAACCTTAGGAGGGTCAAATTGACCCCCACCCGAGCGCGTGTTAACTGTAAGTGTTTATGTAAGCATGCAAAAGCTCATTCTGGCCAGTTCAGCAAGAGCCGCATTATAGAGGGCGCATTCTGACCTATTTAAAATCCATTCTGACCAGAAGAGGCCATACTATTTCTGAGCCTGCAGAGAGCCCACTCTAACCTGAAAAACGCCTTTTATTGACTGGAGAGCCCTTTCCGGCCCGTGCAGGATGAGTCTGTTCTGTAGACGTCCCGTTACTGATTGGATGACTCCTTCTGACTTGCGAAGGTCCCATTCTGGCCTTAAGCGGGCCCATTCTGACCCGCAGAGGACCCATCATTACTTGTAGAGGGCATATGATGAGCTGTAGGGAGTCCATTATTAACTGTCGAGGACTCATTCTTGCTTGTACATGGCTCCATCTGACGCTGAAGAGGGGCCCATTCAGGGTCGTAGAGATGGCGGCGTATCGGGTGGGGGGGGGGGGGGGGGGTGGGGGCAGCGCAGCAGTGGTAAATTGCCACTCCCCCCCTATTTTCAAGAGGGAGAAAAGTATCGTTTTGTCCCTTCGCCCCCCCCCCAAAAAAAAATCAGGTGGGCCAGAAAAGACTGTCCGCTATTTGGTAGTGCTTGCTTGCTGTGTCACCAAAGTAAGCTCAGAGGGTCCATGTCTGGTCCGGAAAGGGCCCATTTCAAGCTCAGAAGGAAATGATTTTGTGTTCGCGAACCGCTCATCTTAGGCTGGAAATGACCCATTTCAAGACGGAAAGTCTCATGTCACTTTCAGGCACGGTACGGGCCCCTTTCTGGTGTGGAGGAGGTCTGGTCTGGAGTGGGTCTATCTTAGGCTCAGAAGCCCAATGGTGGTGTATCCCTAAGGCAAGCTGTCCCCCATGTATGAGGTAGGGGCCAAAACTATCTTTTCCTCATATTTTAGGTGGCCCGAATGGGACTCCTGACGGATTTGTGGAAGAGATTGTCTTATTTTTGTCATCCAAGCAAGCATAGGGAGTCTATTTCAAGTGGCAGCATGGGTCTATTTCCCAGCCAGGGCTAAAGCCGGAGCCAGCGATTTATACTGGTCGGGCCCCACAGCACCTAACGGGACGCTGTGCTGGAAAAGGGCTCCAAGTCAGCCAGAGGCAGTGCCGGAAGGTGCCCGAAGAGCCTGGAGGACCCGACGGGTCCGACGATCAAGGGCTCGATCGGAGGGTCTAAGAGCACGAAGTGCTGGTCCGAGTCTTGTTTAGGGGCCCGGGCCTGCGGGCACGGACCCTTAAATAACAGTCAAAAGGCCTATTGCACCGATCAGGGACACCCTGGGTCTATATGGGTCTGTATGTTGGTCAGGCACCACCAGTGCCGCACAGTCCGCTCCGTATGGGTGTGGGCCTGAGGGCCCACTTCCCAATAAGCTACAAAGCTGAGACCAGCGATTTACACTGGTCGGCGCCCCTGTATATGTCAGATGCTTACAGCACCTAGCAGATGGCCTTTTGCTCGCAAGGAGCCCCGAGGCGACCAAGGGCAGTGCTCGATTAGGCTCGATGAGGGGCCCGGGCGGCTCAACAGAACAAACTATCCGAGGCCCGGTTGGAGAGCATAACAACCCGAAGGATTGGCTGCAGGTCACACCAAGAATTGCGGTTCGTAGGATGGTGACCTGATATATCAGTCAGAGGCTCTCTTGGGCTGTTTGAGGACCCCTTAGATAATGTTGGTGTCTAAATAGGCTAGAGACCACGAGCACCAAACAATTGGCCCGCTGCCAGGCTGAGCTTTGGGGGGGGGGGCATTTTCCAAGTAGGGGTAAGACTGGGGTTATGACTTGCATTTGTCTGGGTCCCAAAACGGTTGTTGGGGCCCCTTTGTCGAACAGAGACCTACAGTGCATAGCAGGGGATCATGTCTCGGTTGATGGCCCCTATTCGGGTACGGATCTTGCATGAGGAGGTTCGAAGAGAGGCCAGAAGGCCCCTTGGGAACAAAGATAAAGGAGCGATTAGACTCGGACCTGCCCCGCCCCCCCCCCCCCCCCACCTGAAGTACAATGGCCTGAAATGTCAATCAGAGGGCCTCTATTAGGTCCTTCTTATTGGCGTTCTCTATCCCTATCATGTAGGGCCTCAAGACGGAGCCAAACAGTCGGCTCCATGTCCGTCTGGGGTCCTGAGACCCATTCCCCGAGCAGGAACATGACCGGGGCCCGCGATTTGTAGTGTTCATGGACCTTGACACAATGAGGGGTTCCTTTGTCAGGGGCCACAGTGCCTTACAGGGGTCGTGTGGCGGCAGGTGGCCCGAGTCGGTCAGAAGTGGTGTTTGAGGGGGCCCGTAAAGGAGGCGAAGGGTCTTTTGAGACTAAAGATCAAGGGCCCGATTGGAAGGCTAAACGCCCCAAACGGCTGCCTGTAGGTCACATTAAGCGTAGTAGGGCCGTGATCTCAAATGTCAAAGATCCTCTTGGGAACCCCTGAAAGAGAGCATTCCTCAGTTTTGGCCAGAGATTACCAATACCGAACAGTCGGCTCCGTGTCGGTCTGAGCTCTGGGGGCCCATTTCACAAGCAGGGACACGGCTGATCCCGCAATTTACATTGGTCGGGGCCCCTGTAAAAATTACTTGTAGCAATGCGGGGCTACTGAATCGTTCAGGGGTGTGCAGGGTCGAACAATGTATTCTGTGTCAACAAGGGTCCTCGATTCTGTCAGAGAAAGATGCGCTCAACAGGGGCGGGGACGGGATCATGAATGACAGAGGCCTGTTGCGTTGGTCATCGTCCTCTAACAATGAAAGAAAACGTGACAGTTTATGATGGTTGTTCACACTGAGGCAATGGAAGGGTTCTGTGCCAGTCAGGGCTCCCAGTAACGAACGTTGTGCCCTACCACCCAAACTAGCATGGGTCCCTTAAGCCAAACTGGGTTTTATGGGCCAATTTTTGGACAAACTGCGGCGATCAGGTATGTTATTTCATCAATGGGGGCTGTTGCGTCGATCCAGGTTCAAGTGCGATGCGCGCGGGTCACAAGGCCTCCCTCGTCAGGGAGGGAACCAATGTGGTAAGACATGTCTAAGGGCCTCTGGATCCGCCAAAGGATCCCGCCCCGTCTCGCCAGGATGGCTGCCGGAAGACACCACGCGGCGCGACGGAATGGCCCTTCATCCCTTGACCGCGAACTATTGTTGTATTCTCAAATTGCACATGCCTGCTACCGTTGTATTCAGGGGGAGGGGACATTCCCAGAAAGAGATCGACATGGGTTCAAAATCGAACGAGCCCGTGTCTGCCCCTTCTTTTGCAGGATCGACCAGCGAAACAAATTGTAATCAGGTTTGAGCCTGCTCGCCCGGAATCTGGAAAGCACGCACATCGATAGCCTGGGTTGCAGTTTCCGTTAAACTGGACGGCGTTGGCATATTTAAGTAGCAATAGGGGGCAGGTGCCGTGCAAACGAGAGTGACAATCGTGGAATAATACTTCCGAATGTTTTAGAGAGTGAATTTATATCGTCCAAAGGCTAGGTTGGACGTGCCTTTTTACACATTTGAGGTTGTCCTCTGCGCAGATTATCATCTATAGCAGCACAAAAATGGAGGTTCTACCTTTCCTCCTTCAGTTCTACCATCAGATTCCAGCACCAATCTGTTAACTTTATCGATCTAACAAACGCACGAATGAAATATATGCCAGAATACCTCCAACATGCGCGGTTTGAAGCCCTGACACGTTAAAAAGTACTTCCGTTAAATGTGTCATCATTTTTGTTCACCCTTTGGCCACGACTTGGTGTAAGCCGCGGGGCCGACGTTGCGCGGGCCGCGGTGACCGCGACGCCTGGTGTCGAGTTTCTGCATAGAGTTGCGAGCGCGCATGATCAAATCTGCGTTGCCTAATTTTTGTTATTTATCAATTCTGGCTAAATGCTATACATTTCATACAAAATACGCGGCTCGGCCATGTTGCTGCAAATTGCTGATTCATTTTGATGAACATTCGCGGGGTCCAAAATACCTTATTAACAGCCCAGGTAAGATTCGGGCTGTTCATCGGGCTCTCAATAATAAGGCCCCTTAAATCCTTGGGATCCAAGGACCCAAGCGTATGTCTGCCACTTGGTCTCGCATTGTTTTTTTTTTGTCTTTTTGATCATATATGGCTCCCGACAGAACACTAAAAATTGACGTGAAGCACAAGCGTCGACAACTCACCCTCCCCCCGCCTCAAGAAAATCCTGGCCGCATCCCGCATCCGATACTCGCCGACAATGTGACAATATTCTCAACCAACAGTTCGGTATACTCCCACAAGGTGGCAATAGCATGAAAGACTAAGGTCGATTGCCGCAATTGATACGAGGGTGTCTTTATAGCAGATAAAGGCATGGCCTTTGCCTTGGGAACTTCCCTTGCATTTTTGAGTGAAAACCTGCAGTTCGGGATTATTGAAGGGACTTGAGTTTGGACGCTGCTTTGTTCTACAGCATAACATAGGAGACGTATGCAAGGCACGAACACGACTGCCTACAGCTTTTCGTCTTCTGCTCATGCGCATGCGCAAACTACGACAAAGTGTATATGCTATTGATGCCCAGATGAAGCGATCTTCTGTCAGTCAATCTTCTGAGTGTCTTATCTTGAACGGAAGGACACTTACAGGTTTGAAGTCAGCGAGGCATCCATGAATTGTAATAGAAAATTTACCTTGGTATATGGAGCGAGTAGAACATTGCAGTATCTTAGGGATTAAAACAATATTCCCGCGTTTTTCTTGGGTAGTGGGCCTCGTTGTTGGCTGCTCAGGCGGTTTGAGGCGTTTAAGGCGCGCTCCGCTCTTTGTTGACTGCGGTGGTTTGTCGCGGGGGTGCCGCGGTTCCGTTTCATGGGGTGGTCGCTGATGTTACGCTGATCTGTTCATCTAAGAAGTGCGTCTTCCACAATTTTGAACGTTGCATGGGAAAGGGTTGTGTTACGTGCGTCTGAAGTGGTTTATTCAACCACGAAGGGCGCATACAGCTGGTCAAGTTCGTGCCTTCGTGGCAGACGTTCGAAAACAGGTAGGTCTGGAACAGTTTTGCCGCCTCAGGTTGATATGCATTTACCACCCAGCCATTCTAGATACACAGCCAGTCTTTCTGTGTGACTAGGTCAGCAAGTGACAATGCCTAGTGAATGGCATGGGGTAGCACAGTGGCTTAAAGAATGTCAGCTTTCTTCATGTTTTTGATTAGTTATGGCACCAGCTTCATTAAGTGCACCACAATTTGCACAGTGCCTCTTAAGCTCTTCATTATTTATTAACAAAAGATAGTTGAAGTACTGGATAATGTAGGTGGCATGTTGCCAAGTGCCCCATGTTGCTGTTGCTTTTGTACTGGATGATAGTCATACAGGTGCCAGGTGCCCTATGTTGCAGTCAAGGTTTTGGATTCTTGCTTGTATACAGCATAACCATTGTGCTTGCCACAGCTCACTTTATGTTGTGCTTTCTACAAGTTGCTCAGTAACACATGATGCATGCCTATATAATTTTGTGTACCTCCTACCTCTGATTATGGTTTGTTTAAGATGGGTCAAGTGGACATGAGATATTTCAAAACAAATAGGGAAATATTTTGGCTGTAGAAAAGGTGCTGAATGACCCCTGTGGATGCTGCACCAGAATGCTCCAAGAAATATCAATCATCCACAGTGGTCACATACTACACTCCTGACTCAACCTAGTTCCAATTTTCTGAGCAATGCTGGTGCTGAAAGAATGTGGTAGATGGATGCATACTAGAGAGATGGCTGAGTGCATTTATGATGGTTTGTGCAAAACCATAGCACAACATTACTGGGCAGTTATCCAAGCTATTGTGGTTTGTTTACCCCCAAGTTTGTGCTTCAGCAAGTCCCAGTGCTTTTGGGCACCAGCTCCTCTGGTGGTGGCAGCCGGAGTCGCCAGTTGCAGACGCGGCAGGCTGTTGCAGGTGTCGCTGCCAGCGAGCAGGCGCTGCAGGGCAGTGACGTCATGTCGTCCCGGCGTCACCCGAGTGGCTCGCCGGCGGCGGACGGCCACGGTCCGCTAAACGACGTTCCGCTGCTGGATCCACTGGACGAGGCACCGGAGCCGCTGCCGCCGCCGCCGCCGGCCGGGGACATTGAGGGCACCAGCTGGGTGGGCGCCGTGTTTCTGATCGTGAACGCCGCGCTGGGTGCCGGCCTGCTCAACTTCCCGCAGGCGTACGACCAGGCGGGCGGCGTGGCCGTGGCACTGACGGTGCAGGCGCTGCTGCTGGTGTTCATCGTGGCGGCGTTGCTGGTGCTGGCGGAGTGCGCCGACCACAGCGCCAGCGCCACATACCAGGACACCGTACACGGTCTGCTGGGTACCGGCGGACTCTGGGCCTGCAGCGGCGTGGTGGCGCTCTACTGCTACGGCACATGTGTCACCTTTCTCATCGTCATACGCGACCAGTCGGACGTCGTCTTCTCGTCGCTGTTCGGGCCGCGCTTCTGCCACACGTGGTACATGAACCACCTGTTCACCATGCCGGCGAGCTGCGTGCTCTTCGTGCTGCCGCTCTGCTTCTCGCGGCGGATCGACTTTCTCAAGTACGCCAGCTCGCTGGGTGTGCTGGCCATCATCTACCTGGACGGCCTGATCGCTTTCAAGTACTACCAGGGCCACTTCCAGCCGGGCCCGATCAAGCACGGCCCCGACGCATGGACGGACGTGTTTCTCGTCATGCCCAGCATCTGCTTCGGCTACCAGTGCCACGTCTCCGTCGTGCCCATCTACTCCTGCCTGCGCACACGCACCGTCACCAACTTCCTACGCGCCGCGCTCACCGCTATCGCCGTATGCGTGGCCACCTATACCGTGGCCGGCACGTTCGGCTACCTGACCTTCGGCGGCCGCGTCACCAGCGACGTGCTCATGTCGTACGACGCGCGTGATCCCTGGGTCATGGTCGGCATCGTGGCCATCGCCGTCAAGACGTACACCACGTACCCGATCCTGCTATTCTGCGGCCGCGAGGCGGCGGCACGCCTCTGGGTGGAGGCGCGCGGCCTGGACGAGGCGCGCGCCGCCGCCGGCGAGCGCACGCGTCGCTACGTGGTGGCGTTCGTCTGGTTCACCTCCTCCGTGCTACTGGCCGCGCTGGTGTCCAGTATCGGGGCTGTGATCCAGCTGCTGGGCAGCCTGGCGGCGCTCTTCATCCTCGTCTTCCCCGGCCTGTGCCTGCTGCGCCTGCTGCTGGAGAAGGACCCCGAGCTGGTGTTGCGCAAGGACCGCTGGCTGCTGACCTTTGCTGTGGCGCTGGTGGCCGTCGGCGCCTTTGTCTTTGGCGTGGTGCTGACGCAGGCGCTGCAGAACGATGTCGAGCGCCTGGGGCCGCCGCCTGCCGATCTCTGCCGCGTGCAGCACGTCATCGCTGGGGCTCCGCTACCCGGCTGAGGCCGGCGGTCGGCGACGCGGGGCCACTGCAGCAACTGTCATGTGCGGGCCGCACCTGGTGATACTCAACGTACGCGGGGCACAGCGTTTTTTCTCTTGTTAGGATTCCAGTGGTTCACTGGGAGATATTTCTGACATGCCACGGTATATTCCCCATACGTTTTGGGATGTTCTGTGACGAAGACGGGTGCTATGAATATTTATCTGAGGTGTTTGTTGGACATTATACAATACTGTATATGATATCCCCTGTCCAGTGGCTGTTCAAGCTACTATAGGTGCGTAGCGTTAGATCTATATAAGTCAGTGTTTCGGCGCTTAAAGCGTATATGTTTTGTATTCACTTGATGTTCTCCCTGGTCATGTTTTACTTCTGAACGTCTGCGTGAACTTACGAATTTTCTGTCGTTGTGGTATCTGTGGGACCTGTCAATTATTAACCCTTCCTTGCGTGTACCAAAAATTGGATCCGCTGTGCTGAGTCTTAACATTTCAGAGTGTGCATAGCCTATGTTATGGAATAGCTCCTGTCCAGTGATATTTCGAACTGCGGTTCGGGAAATTTAATTGAATTGCTTATCGGTGGTACTCCAATATACATCAAAAGTGTACCTGTAGTGTTTGTCTGACTTTCTTTTTGTTTGAAGTGCGGTTTCGGCATACGTGGGATTGCTGGGGAAACGGAAGTATCAAGCAACAATTTTTATGCCGTACGAAAACGTGTAATGGATCTTTATCAGTATAATGAATGTATTGCTGTAGGCTGCATCATTCATCCGAAACAGCTAATCGGTACCGTTTGGTATGAGCACATCATTGACGCGGCGACTCTGGACTTGATGTCGGCTGCAGCACAAGTGTCATGATTTTCGTTTGTTGCAGTGCTCTGCGGAAGCCATGCAAATCTTCGCAAAGCTGTAAGTGTGCTGAGTGTGCTCCACCCTGGGAGCACCGCCAGAAGTGGAGGCTAAAAGCTTGGCAGGGTGTTGATGACCATAACGCTGCTCATTCGATGGGTCTCATTATCACGACTGGAACCGTCGTTCGCATAGCATAGGGGCATTGTATGATTGTGGTATGATTCGAGGCCTTGTTGTCAGCGCACGTGTGGCGTGGGGGCTCTGCCATAGCGCCCACGCGTCCGTGCATTTCCAGTACACGCACACATGCCAAATTAATGGACTTACGTACCTACCTATCTAAAGCACTTCCACTTGTACAATAACCTACTGAGTTACCTACCTAATGAACCCTGCTAGTTGCGGACCGTAGAATCGCTTCCTTACTTTGCCAGTTCGCACAAGGAGCTTCCTTCCCTCGTACCTTGAGCATTTCGGAGTGTCGCCTAATGTTGTACACACATCCTTCTGCCGCCCCCCCCCCCCCCCCCCGCCACGGCCCTAACGGGTGATGCCCCGTTCTCAGCCCAGAGGGCGGAGGCGGGCGGACCGGCCGCACCGCCGTCCTGGGCACTCATTGAGCTTCAGGGTGACCTGGAGTCTCGCTCGGGCTCCTCGCTGGCCGGCCAGCTGATCGGCGACCTGCACTTCACGCGCCAGGGAGCGCCCGTGCTCATCGTCGGCCACCACATCCTCTGGGGCAAGGTTGCCACCCTCGAGAAGCCGCTGCTGGTCATGGAGAAAGGCGAGGCGGCGACGCGGGAGATCTCTGTAGGCAAGTGGTAGAACGATTAGTTGCTGGCCCTGCCGCGAGGGCGGTGCCGGTCGCTGGCGGTTTGGATTTCCGCCAACATAACACCGAAATTGGTCGCCCTTCCGTTTGTCACTATGCGGTTTGTGGCATAGAATCATACGCAGCTGCTTGTGGCATAGAATCATACGCAGTTGCTTGTGGCATAGAATCATACGCGGCTGCTTGTGGCATAGAATCATACGCAGTTGCTTGTGGCATAGAATCGTGCGCGGGCTGGGCGTGACTAGGCTGCGGGTCTAGTCACGCCCAGCCCACCTCGTCAGATTAAGCGTAAAGACGGTTGAACACAATCTCAGGAACCAGCAGATCGGTCGAGCTAAACCGCATATCAAGTTAACAGCGCATGCTAGCACGTGGCGTACTTGTGTTTTCATGGCCCGAGGCTGAAGCATTTCCGAGATATGTACCGCGTTTGCCCTTACAGTTTTTTGCCAAGCACTATATCGCAAACCATTGGGTCGACGGAGCTGTGTGCTGCATTATCGAGACAGCAACAGGCGAGCGCGTTACGTCTACGAATTCGCCTGCTTTTTGCGTCGAGCCATGTGCGTGAGATGGGTCTTACAAGCCACGGCGCTGTTTGGGATAAGTGTTTGGCAGTGGCGATTGGCAGCGTATAAGCGGCTTGCGTTGCCAGACGTATGACTCGAGAATGTCATGACCGTAGATTCGTGGCATATGCCTTTGTGCCAGCCCGTGTCCCTCCATGGCGCGCAGCCCGATCGGCCGGGAAGCTTGCGAGTTCCTGTTTGCAAGCAATCTTCGTGTGTGAACTTGTAAAGCGTATAACTCAGCTATGGCCTGACCGAGGGTCACGAAATTCATTTGCCTAAAATGCTTTTCCTTCCTCTCGTGGTCATAACGGATGTAGCCAAACCGACCCAGCGGTTTCGAGTGAAGTGTTGGGCAGTGGGCATGCAGCGGTGAATACAGCGCCATACTTCGTAAGACGTATGTCCTATAAATTAACGGTACCGAAACCTGACCCAACAAAGATGCCTTTGTAAACGCACACAACTGGATTTGATCCATGCAAGGGAAAGCGCGTCTTTTGTGGATGATTTAGCAGGCATGGGCTCACTAACGTAGCGTTCGCACTACCATCCAAAAAGCACGTTGCTTGAAATGTGTTGGGCTGTGAATGTGGTCATGCCAGGCAGATTTCACACCACGGAATGGATGATTAATCATGGTTGACACTTCTGATAGCGTGACTAAAGCACTGGGAGGAGCGTGGATATTGTGAGCTTTATTACTTTGAGTTTGTTGCGTTTGGTGGTTTAATATCGCACGGTTTAGAACACTGCTGTCGTACTAGAGACCGCTTTCGAGATAGATGTCATTGACAGCGTCCCGGTTGCTGACTTGCGCACCTACGGCCCGAGTTAAGCGATGGTTAAGTTGAGTTAAGCGATGTCTGGCCACCAAGGTTGGGGCTGGCGTCATCAGCCCGTGTTGTCGGGCAAATTACCCTGTCCTGTCGGGCAAATTACTCATGGTCCTCGACAGTGGAAGGTTGCATTTGGCTCACATCGTGATGCGGCACAAAAACAATGCGTGGTGGGGCAGTTTCATTGAAATGATGTATCGTGATGGATAATAATTGAACTGAATGATACAGCTACTTCAACGTCCTGTATGACAGCCCTTGGGGCATTTCTGTCCCTGGTGCTGAAAACCGCGATACTGCCATTAGTGCTTGTGGACATCCCGGCTCTAGAAAACGCCACGGCCTGGTCGCTCATGTGGAAAACATAATTGTTAAAGTAAGGCGCCATTGCCCCGTGGCCTGGGTTGAAATGAACAATATTTTGGATATGTGAATTCCATCCAGCGCGCATGGTATCATTCATTGTGGCCTGTGGGTTGCGGTGTGACCCGTTTTGACACGTGTGAACATGCTCGTGGTCCGGAATGTTTTACGTCCAATGGTCTTTCAGCGAGCGGATCAGGCTTCAGTATCGAATGTGTTAATATGTCCGCACCAGGCCCATTTTGAGCGCGATAAATGGGCTTCACTGCGTGCCAGTGGTCTCTGACACGGCCACAGCTCGCGTGCTGTTCGCTCCGATGCGGTGCTTAACCCCGCCTCGTCCACAGACGCGATGGAGACGGAGGACGCAGGCGCCGGCGCCGAATGTCGCTACCACGTGCGGGCCGTGGTGCGCAAGAAGATCCTCTTCAGGAGCCGACCCAAGCCGATCATCGCCAACGTGCCCAAGAAGCTGTGACACCGGGCGCCGAGCCGCTGCGCTGTCGGGCACCGCCGCCAGATTCCGATGGCGTGGCCATTCTGGGCGCCGCGCGCCCCCGGCTGCCAAATTATGCGCCGGTCGTCTATCCCGGGCACGCTGTCAGGCGGGCCGGTCCCGTGCGCGGCTGGCGGGCGGCCGAGCCGGCTGGCGGCCACCCAGCGACCTCGCGTCCGCGCGACCCTGAGCGCGTGGCTGACCCGAAAACGGCGCGGTGGGAGGACCGACGGGGCCGCGCCGAGCGCCGGGCGTGAGCTGACGCAGGGCCGTGCGGAGGATCGTGGCGCTCGAATGGATGAGGGTGGCGAGACTGCTCCTCTGCTGCTGACTGCGGGGGGGGGGGGGGGCAGGACACACTTGCAGCGGCAGCGTTTTGGAAAAGCCATGAGAGCCCGGGACAGTGAAGCTAAGGTAGCTGTGATGATCGGGTTTTTGGGATGCATCGTTTCGCGTTCTGTGTACTATTTTATTATCAAGCGAATTTCGTATGTCGCCTACGAAATACACGTGTATTTGTATAATTGTGCATGTAGGAACGAACACCTGAGCCCGAGCATGTCCTGAGCTAGTTTAGCTGATCCCGTGGCTGCAGCGAGAACGATGCTTACTCCTGTGTGTCTCGAATATGAGTAGCATTTATAACTATGCGTCCGTTGCTGCTAACACCATGGCAGCGGAGATAATGGCCCTCCTGATGCGGCTTGGCTTGACAGTGCAGTTTGGGAGACCCTCATCGTTCTAAATTTGCAGCCTCCGGTGCTGAACAGGCGTAAGCCGATATATATGTGTATTGCGCAGTTGGCTGACCGCCAAAATTGCCGGCAAAAACCCATGGAGAAAGCACCAAAAAACCGGAGAAGAAAGCATTTGGCGTCTTCAGCTATATTGCAAAAGATAAATATATTTATTGTAAAACGATAAACATGAGGCAGCTATTGGGATACAAATAGGTATGCAAAAAGCGCGTCGGCATTTGTACGTACGCAAATGTGCGCCAGGTGTGAAGTTCGTGCGGCAGATGTACGTACTCGAAAGTCCTTACGCGAGCGTCCGTTTGGTGTAGAATGTGTGTCAAAATGTTTGCATCGACGAATGTTCGTAAAGGGTGTTTGTGGAAAAGGTGGATCTCCATTTTACCTGTATTTTGTTTTTTTCAACGATATGACAATCTCCAACACCGTCTCTTTCTTCCCTTCTCTCAAAACTTCCTCACAAAATGCCCGGTCCCATCCTCCCTTTCGCCTCGGATTTGTCGTCACACAACGAGGTCCCGACATCCATTTGCCCGTGCATTCGATATATTGATACGAGAAATCACGCTCTTTCGGTTTTCATCCAGCGTGCATTCCCACATTGTCATCTCCCTATTTAAACGCAGATGGATTTGACGCACGGATAAATTTGGTTTTAAAAGACATACTCTGAGGCGACGTTGGGTCGGGTGCAAGCCAGCCTCTAATCAAAGCGGGCTCAGGCGCTGCATTGTTCTTTCTTGATTCCTATTTGCTGCCTATTAGCTGTCGTATATCGGTTGTCACTTGAGTGTCTGCTGACCGTTTCCCACAAGCGAGCTGGCTGCGGAAGCGGCCGTCGGTGGCGCGCTCAGCGGGCGTCTGGCGGGGTCTTCGACAGAGCGACGTCAGGTTGAAGGGTATTTAGGGAACACAATAAACTCAGCGGGTGGTCTGCATTGTACGCGTTTTTCGGATTTCCTAAACCTTCATTCCCCTATCCCAGAGTCACCTCTTGCACTATTCCGATTGATTTGAGTTCATTTGTCCGGCGCTTCAAAGCGTTAACGGTCATGTGATGAGGAGTCATGCTAGGCATGATACTTGACCTGACCTGGGCAGCTGTCGCCATTCTCCACTAACTCCTCTCCCCAGTCGACGGGATGCTGTGACCCCAGCAGTGACCAATCACCCGACGCCTGACTAGGATAGGTATATGCATTCTAACCTGCAGTACACATCTACATATGACCTTTTGTTTGCGTACTATTGGTAGGCAAACTACGTCCTTGAACATTTGCGTAAGTTTTCTGTGTAGTCACATCACATCGAAAATATTTTTTACGTAAAAACTGTTTACGTAAAAAACGCTTAAAAAACTTCGTTACGTAGATTTACCAAACGAACGTTATCCTTGAGTAAAAGTTACGCATAAACACTTGCCTTCAAACAATTCGTGCTACCTTTTCTGTATAGAATTTTGCACGTGCGAACATTTTCGCTACGAACTTTTCCCAGACGAATAATTTGTTGTACAATTGTTATCTTACGTGCTTTTCAATTACGAATTCTTGAAAATAAGGCATGCGTATTTGACCCTACGAACAACTGCCATATGTACTTTTTTCTATGCGTACTTTTGTCCGCAACCCCAAGGAGCTCGCCAAGGCTTGTCAATGTGATGTTACATGTCAAGGGCCATCCGAGAATATGGGAGCTCGGCGGGCGTGTGATCAGGTCAGGCTCTAAGCCCATGGCAGCCAAGACTTTTCTCTCCGGCTCCGCACAGGAAATATTCTTGGGATTTGCTGCATCAAACTGAAGCTTTTCGACTACACGCCGTGCGTCGGTTTTCTACTGCCCTGGACCAAGGCTCGTACGATTAGGATAGGCCAAAAGGAACACTTTAGCGATCTCTGTTTATAGACTCAAGGATAAAAATGCAGTTCGTTACACCCCAATGTACACACGATCTGTAGCTGGGATAGCCGCGGAGAGGTGCACTTCAAGTGTTGCGTTCTAGCAAACTTCCAGGAATCCACAATGAGGGCAAATTCGAAATGGCTTGGTGGAGCCACGATGTCCACGGGGCTGTCGTCAAATAACGTTACGCTTGGAGGGAGTTTGTTACGGGGCGTAACAAAAGTGTACCGAGAGAACACACGGAATGCTTCGGACGGTGCAGCGGTACGCTCAGGTGTGGTCAGGGGCGCATCCATAATTTTTTTTAAGAGGAGAGGGGGCACGCTTCACTGTGGTCTACCCTGGAGCTTGGTCCCCCGATTACAAAAGTCCCCAGATTTTGGACACTTCGTGCTCAAATTATTTTTGATCAGAAATCTATCTGCCTATCATCGTGGAGGGCTGGACATAGCCGGCAGACATGTACATGACTTGCGCTGATATATTTTTCCAGACGCTGATCCTACCATTTTAAGCTAAGCATTTCGGAGAAGACGTGACACAGTGAGTTAAGGTTGGCTCCTAAATCCCATCGAAGTCAGGAAAAATAAAGTGACTCGAATAACTAGCAATCGTTAACCTGCGCACGACAAAACTCGCAAAAAACAAAACTAGCAAAAGCTGCAGTTTTTACGTCTCTGGTTTTAAGTTAATGGTCAAAAGCAAAAGCAGCAGCTTGCGAACGAATTCTACATCGCAATGACGCAAGTGGCATCGCATACTACGAATGATGAAATGTGTGCGCTTGTGGCAGAAAGCGGCGAAACCGGTGGAGTGCTTCAACTTCTGACGTGATGTGCTTTCTATTAGTCAAACATATTGCAGCTCCCTGGAATAGTAGAATGGCGTGCGTCGTGAGCATGGACAGATACAAATCTCCTGCTGCGCGCTTTTTGTGTTGTGACTGACTACGAAAATTTAAACTTTAAACTGAGAAATGCGCTGGGCCCCGCCATCAGCGTCATCTGCTTTAACCCGATTAGTCCCCAGAACTCAGGCAAGAGAACTGGCAGATTTTGTGCTAATATCGCACGCGTCTATTACGCGCGCGGTGGACGAGAGGCGCCACGAGTCACGGTAAGAAAGGAGCACCACGGTTAACAAAGAGCCCGTGCCGGGGAAGAGGCAGCAGGAAATCCACTCCCTCAAATCACCTTAAGAAAAATGGCCCGACGGCTTTAGGCCGCCTTATTTTGAGAGATCAATTTTCTTTTACTGACCCTGTCATCAAACGGGGCTTAACTGGATTTGATCGGGGGTTTACCAGGATATTGAGGGACCTTGGACTGAGCCATGACCCTGGGGGCCAATCGAGGGACCATGAATTCTCGGCATTGCATGTGGTCGTTTCGACTTAACCGACAAATATTCAACTTAGTCATGATTCCGCTGTTATTGCTCGGGTTTGTTTAAGAGGTGGCCAAGTTCCACTATTCCGCGAGTTTCGGGGAGCTTGATTGGACGAGGATATATCACGGGCAAATCATTCTGTCCGTGGGATGGCAAATGGCGTGCAGGCGTTACACAAATGCGACAGCACACCATCGTTCGGAAATCTGGCGTGGTGTAAACGGGCCTTCCCTCACCCACATTTGACCATAGATCGCTTGTTAGCCGGGGAGGAGAAGCGACCGGCCAAATTCCATCCCCGCGGACTGCTGCGCCCTGACATCCACCATCGCATAACATGCCAGCTGACCCGTCCCGAAATAGGTCGCCGGGCAGAGGCGTCAGCGGCGTGACGTCATGGCCGCAGGTCAGCTGGCGGCCCGGCGTTATCGATTGGAGCTGGCGCAACCCCCCCCCCCCCCCCCCACCCTCGTGTCCCGCGACAGGGACTAGTGCGCGCGCTCCTGCGGGCGCTTGCGTGTCCGCGTCCCGAGAAGTGGAGCGAGGCCAGCCAGACAGCGATGTGGAAAGCTGGACTGGCACCAGCAGTTAGTGTGTTCTTCCAAATGCACGCTTCGTGACTTCAGCTACATCTGTTACTGGTCTGGTTCTAACGCGAATATCACACAGATGTGGCATGGCGCACGAGGGCTGATCCAGGGGGCGGGGCAACTTAACCATAGCGCCCGAAAACGGCCCGGCGGCAGAAAATAGCATTTCTGGACTGCTGAAAAAAACAACTTTCGCGACAGAAAGTTTGTGCAGCGGCTTTATCGAAGTCAAAGGTAGACGAGCCCGATGAACCTTTCAAAATCAGGACGCGGTTTTGGATGTTTGGGTCCCCGAGATGACGTCCTGGGCTCGCTCTTGGATGTGGACGACAGGTAACGCACCACCACTGAGCGCCAACATCCTACCGCTGGAGCAAAGCAAATCCTAATCTCTTTGCACTCACAACGCATCGAGCGCTCCTGTCCCAGCGAAGGTACGTTTATGACCTTGAAGCGGCTGAATAATAATACAATTAATTTCTCTCCACATTGTCTCGCTTTCACCGCAGCTGCGTCTCGGCTCCCAGTCGTCCAAGCACCAATGCCATCTAGACCACCCTTCACGTGGGCGTCTTGTTGGCTTGTATCTCTTCCCACCAACTGGACTATTGGTATCGAAAACACTGGAAAACGCACGGGCCTTGCTGAACGTGGCTCGGTACTGGGGTATTTTATACGTGGACATGAGCCACCATTGGAACACAGCGCCAATGTCGGGTCGGCCTGAAATTGTCTGGCTGTGCTCGTGTGTATTTTCGAATTACAGTGACTGACAGATTCCCTGAGGCGACAGGTCATTCTCATGTGAAGAACTCACGCACGACAGCTGAGGATGGTGCCGGCCATTCCTACCCTCTCACGCTCATCATTACAGGACATTACGTCGCGTGCAAGTCGGCTGGGCGATGACATGGCAGTTCGTAATGCAGCTTCCACAAGGACCCGCGTGAGCTTCGGTTGATGTACACGGAATGTGCACCTCAGTATGTACATTGCATTGTTGCACTGGTCCAGAACTATTTCCCAACAAACCACCGGACCAGGTTGACGTTGGGCGGCGCGCGTGAGACCAACGGCGAAGCAACGTAATATACGGCTAGTGGCAACCTCTGGCTCCTAACACCGGTGCTGACGCAACATCTAGCCGAACATGAGTGTCTTCAGCTCGTCGTACAGCACGAGCACGAGCGCACCACCTGAAAGAGAAAGTGACTAGTCAGTTGCCATCCCGCTACCGACAACACCAGACACTGACGCATAAAACAGCACCAATACTATGGTCGCAACAAGGCCTGCGATAAAGCTGAAGGCGATTTCGGTCCGAGGGAGCCAGCTATAACGGCAATCGCGCAAAACAATGGGTAATGTGGCATCACGCGTATCAAGGCATGTCAACAAGCAATCGTTGCATAAGAACTGAGCCGAAGACGCTTTAACACCGCGGCCTTATGTCTAGAACGTTTGGAAAGTAGGCCCCATCTATACGGAACGAGTTCTTAAACCGGCCCGAGACGCCGCTGAAGAATCCGCTCCACCCACCTGTGCCGCGGAGGACGTTGGAGAAGGCGCCCTTGAAGAAGGCACCGCCGCCCTCCTGGGCGGCTACCTTGCGCCAGCAATCGAGGGTGCTCTTGTACATGATGTCGGTGCCCTTGCGGCCTGACTGCATCATCATCCGCCTCCGTACGGTGTCGAACGGATACGAGATGATGCCGGCGACGGTGGTCACCGTCTGGGAAACAGTAGGACCCCGACGTCAAATGACCTTTACCACAGGCATGCGGGCGAAATCCAAATCATGCACGAGGTTGCTATATGTCTCTTACATCTTCAATAGATTCAAGGCGGAATACACGGCTGAACAGTAGGACAAGGATGGGTTTGAACATTTCACGTTTTGCTTCCCAGTGAAGAGAAGTGACAGGATCTGAATGGCGATTTCACAGAGACGGATCATGTCCGAAAAAATTGCACTAGCATGCAGATTACGTTTGCGGCACACAAATTCACATCCAATACCAGTGGCCAATTCGTGACTCCGGCCAGCGATACAAGTTAGAAGTGACCTTCAGTCAACTAACCTGGGCGATGGCCCACGATACGACGAGCGGGGTGTTCTTAGGGTCGGGCAGGTAGCCCTTGGCCGTGTCGAAGAAGCCGAAGTACGAGGCGCGGTAGATGATGATGCCCTGCACGGAGACGCCGAAGCCGCGGTACAGGCCCAGCATGCCGTCCGACTTGAATGTCTTGACCAGGCAGTTGCCCAGGCCGGTGAACTCGCGGGCGCCACCCTTGCCGACGTCGGCGGCCAGCCGGGTACGGGCGAAGTCCAACGGGTAGACAAAGCAGAGCGACGTGGCACCGGCGGCGCCGCCCGAGGCCAGGTTACCGAGGAAGTACCTCCAGAACTGGGTGCGCTTGTCCACACCACCCAGGAAGATCTGCTTGTACTTGTCCTTGAATGCGAAGTTGAGCGCCTGGGTGGGGAAGTAACGGATGACGTTGGCCAAGTTGCCGCGCCAGAAGCTCAGGAAACCCTGTTCACGGGGAATACGGACGAAGCAGTCGACCATGCCTGTGGAAGCCAGTCATCGGTTACTGTCTCGACGTGGACGGAAGCGCTCGAACAACCTTGGCGAAACGCAACGGTTTTCACCGGGGCATATTTTATTACATTATTACATAACATTGTTAGCATTATGTTGCTAAGCGACTCCAACCGCCAGAGCAAAAATTTTGACAATTCCACGCGACACTGGATTCCATTCCACTTCTAGAAACGACCGCCTGGGGCTTAAACGTACCTCTGTATCTAAGGATCCTAGCATATCATCGTTGAAAAGGATCCTAACATCAAACCGGTTAACAGGATCTTAGCACCGCATCGAAAGAAAAAATCAAACGGTTATTGATAGGTCTAAATGACCTCACCCAGGAATTGTTGACATCCGGCAAGTAATTGATGGCTTAACGAGTCGTGCAAAACACACCGAAATCATATACATTTTCGACCGATTCCCCGGCACCGCTCTCTCGACCCCTCTAGCATCCGTTATAACGCCCAGAGAGCTTTGTACCCGTAAACACACCGAAGGAATGTGATATGGGAAGAGGTGTGGTGAACTTTTTGGCACTTCTGAATCATACCATGATATTAACTCCTATCATCGGCAGGGTCCTGTCATGGTCATGTACGGTTAGTGTAAGCTCACACTTATGATGATTGTTCGGTTCTTCTTGTTTTTTGACACACAAGTCATCGGGTGGAAATATGTCATTTACCCCGAATTATCACACACGGACACAACTTTGCTTCAACGCCTCAGTTTGGCCCAACAAGACTAGACGTTGGCCGGGCGTGAACTCGCAAAATGCGACCGACTTAGACTGGTAAACGATCAAATCCGTCATATTACAGCAAGACAATACAAAAATCCAGAAAAGTGCCTAACAATCGGTCCGCAAGCCTTCATTGATGACACGATGCAGTGACCCATATTGGCATCGACACTTTTACCATTATGCGATAACTTTAAACTGGTCACCTGCCGGATGGTGACGGTCTGGTAGATCCACCTGGGATAATTCAGAAGCTATTCCTGGGACTCGGAGCTGGGGATTGAGTTGCATTTAACTCCCGACGGTCACAACTTAAAGCATCCATTAGTAAGACACCATGCAGGCAGCTTAGGAGAACCTCCTCATCCATCATTTAATTTCAGAGGACACAGTCATTACCGTTGGACACATGAGTGGCCTTTGCTGCTGGCTTCCAGCATAGTCGCACCGACTGCTAGATGACAAGGAACATGGTGCGAAAGGGATACCTTCCGGGCGATCTTGATGCATGCATCTCAGAACAAGTGCTTTGTCCCTGAAATTACCAAAACCACGAATATTACTCATGCGTACCCGTGGCACACGCAAATAAAACATAACATGCAATAAATAGTCTTACAGAACAAACACATGCATAACAGCTACAGAAGGCGCGCACGAAGAATCATAATGAAATGTCACAGCAGTAACAATATATAATGGGTGTGGGCGCGGCCATGCCTTGTACATAATACCGTCTTCCCAAAACTGGTCAGACCTAGAGTCAAAAATGACAACTAGAAAGTCCAACCTAAATTTGGTAATGTATGCTAGGGCCTTTCCTGAAGTCCTTTTGGAAACATGTGAATGTTGTTCAGAACACAGCCAAGCTTCTAACATGCATCACCTAAGACTAAACCAACCATGGAGGGGCACCCACAAACCACTTCATGACCATCAGATATCAATCTGCATGTTTCTGTATAAATATTGGAATTCTCAGCAACCTGTGGTCAGACTTTACAAGCCCCACAGTAATACTACAGTAATGAGCCAATGGACTATGCTGTCAACTGCTGAATGGTTGTTACCTTCAGCAAACAATAAATGGTCATTAACTAGGATGAAACAAGAATTTTTGCATGCTTGATATAGTTCACATAACTTCTGTTCGAGCACATGCCATCCAGCCCACACATGTCAGTGGGGGTTTAAGTAGGAGTGGGGGTTCCAGTCGCTCCACAGCTTGCTATTTACTTTGGAGTGGGAAGCCTGCCATGGTGCCAACATGGGTGTCACAACATTTGTGCTGCCCAAAAGCTTGTACCTCCTACCAACTCCTACTGATGGGAGTGCTAGGACATCTGCTATACATGGCATCACCTGCAAAAACCTATTCAGGCTTTACTTAAATGCAACATTTCTTCTACTGCAAAGATGTGTACATGGCATAAGTGCTATACAACACAATTTGTGTTTCAAAAACTTACAAACATCATTACATCTGCTACAAAAGGTTATCATTTTATCATTACCTCTGCTGCAAAAAACTCAAACAAAACATGAGTGCTGCATGTCTACATCACAAAACTTATGCTGCAAAACCAATACCAGTCAGTACTTCCACAGCAAATGCTTATACAGTATTGATGGTGGTGGAGGTGGACCTACATGGTGGTCTTATGTTCTTATGTCCTATGACAGTTATCACCCATGTAGGTCATGTCTACCATAAAACAACCTTCAAAAATTGAGCAGTTGCATATGATACTTTGGATGGAACTTAAATCGCTCTGCACCTTCCCTCCACACAGGATCTGTACTTTGGGATTAGCTGATCAGTTTTCTTAAGAATAAACCTGATCAGCCTCCTCTTCTGTCCACCACATCAGACACAACTCG